CCGGATAATCAGGATCAAATCTCAGAACCTTCGACCCCTGAGTCCGTTATACGACACCCTATTGATGAAGAGTTCAGCGACGAGGAGGTATCTGCTGATGAGAGTGTGCCAGACCCAGTTGCCACCATCAAGGCCCCTGGAACTGGTCTAAAGACCCGTCCATCCCTCACCCCTGCGGACGTTGAGCAGATGGCTGCGACGCGCCGCAAGGTTAGCGGACAACCACCTCCGCCCATGCCCCAGCTTACCAAGCAGAACTCGAACGACTCGCAGGCCTCTGCACCGGAGGAGGAACACGAGGAGGAGACACAAACAGAGACCGCCAAGGAACCGAGTCGGAGACAACCCAGTCTCATGAAACTGGATATCCCATTCAGCATCCAGGAAGAGGAAAGCCTCGGATTCGGCTTGGATAAGGAGTTCGATCGAGTGATCGAGTCGCAAAAGGTGGAGTTTGAACAATCCCTGTCCCTACTCAGAAGCACCGCGTTTATCCCTCGTCGCCATGACGGCCCACACCAAGGATCAGAAGCCCATAGCTTGAAACTTAGACCATCAACTGACCACCGTGTCTTAAAACAGAGAGGTTACCTTATGCGACATAACACGAAGGTTATCATCGCCAGTAGCCGCAATGAGGATGAAGCGGCAGCTGGAGGTGATACTCCTGCAGCGGCCCGGGCCGCACCAACGGCGCGCAAGCCTAGTCAGCAAACGTGGACTACGGTGCCGTGGAACGGACAGACTCGCCGAGCCAGTATGAGGACTTCCAGCGGCATGGTCCGGAAGAAGCCCGTCAGCGGACCCGTCCCACCACTTCCAGGCCAACAGAGCAGCGTTCAGGAGCCCCCGGCGACCATCGAGGAGACCGAACCTGCGTTGAATGGTGCTCTGGAGGAGGGCGAAGAACGTGGTCGCCTCTTTGTCAAGGTAGTCGGAATGAAATATCTCGATCTGCCGCTGCCACGAGGTAAGTGCATGACTTTTGGTCAACTATATTTCGAAACGTCAGCTGACAGTCACCTCAGGTGAGAGATCGTACTTTGCCTTAACCCTGGACAATGGCCTTCATTGTGTTACCACTGCCTGGCTGGAACTGGGCAAGACCGCTCCCATCGGTCAGGAGTTTGAGCTCATCGTGCAGAATGATCTCGAATTCCAACTGACCCTCCAGATGAAGGTGGACGAGGAGAAGATGCGTGTTCCAGAGCCTGCTCCACCAGTTTCACCCACCAAGCAGAAAGCCTCCACCTTCAGTCGGGTCTTTGCTTCACCCCGAAAGCGCAAGGAGCTTGATATGAAGCAACAGCTGGCGTCGCAACAAAACAAGACTCGCGATGTCAACGCTCCCGTTTGGGACAGGCTGAGAACACTCATTGCTCGCGATGGAAGCTTCGCGCGTGCCTACGTGTCCCTCAGTGACCACGAAAAGCACGCCTTTGGTCGGCCTTACACAGTGGACGTGGCATGCTTCAACGAGTGGGCTGTTGAAGAGCAGCCCAGCAGTGTAAAGAGCAAGAAGAGTACCAACAGTACCACTTCCCAGAGGCGTCCTCCCTACAAGATTGGCAAGCTCGAGCTGCAGCTTCTATTTGTGCCGAAGCCCAAGGGCGCCAAGGACGACGACATGCCCAAGAGCATGAACGCATGCATCCGGGAGATGCGTGAAGCCGAAAGTGTATCCTCTCGCAGTTGGGAAGGGTTCCTTTCTCAGCAGGGTGGTGATTGTCCAGTAAGTACATGCAAGCCTGAACGTTTGTCGATCAACGCTAATTCATTTCATAGTTCTGGCGTCGTCGCTTCTTCAAGCTCCAAGGGTCCAAGCTGACTGCATACCACGAGACCACCCGCCAACCTCGCGCAACCATCAACCTTTCTAAAGCAGTTAAGCTTATTGATGACCGGTCTTCTTTGACTCAGAAGGAGACTACAACGCGAGGGGGTGGCCGTCGCAAGTCAGCCTTTGCCGAAGAAGAGGAGGGCTATATGTTTGTTGAAGAGGGATTCCGCATCCGCTTTGGCAACGGCGAAGTGATTGATTTCTACGCCGACAGCGCTGCCGACAAAGACGGATGGATGAAGGTGCTGGCGGACGCCGTCGGCAAGGGATCTTCTGGCAGCAGCCAAGTCAAGGCCTGGACGGAAATGGTTCTCAAGCGGGAGCGAAGCATGAAGGTGAAGCGGTCCAGCACCGCAGCTCCTCCGCCACCCGCCAAAGACAGTGCCATCCCTGTTCCAACGACCCCATCGGCGCGGGCGCCACCCGTGGGTCGTCCTGGCCACAAGCACACTCAGTCACAGCCAGAAGTTCGCGGTCTGGATGCTCGCCGGCAGAAGACGCGATCCCTGATGTTCTAGAGATGTTCTAGAGTTGCTTTTTGTGTTCCACTATGTTCTCCATTTTACCCCTTCTTGTGACTTGCTTTATTTTAGTACCTCCCTTTTTTGTGAGTTGTCTTCTTTTTTCTATGTTTGATCTTTGCTTCTTGTACGGTGTTGGAGTCTAGCCTGCCTGCTGCATCTTCCTTTTGTTCTACCATTTGATTTGAGACTTTCAGCATCCAGCACTGCTCGTTATGCAAGCGTTGTCATTTCTTTTTGTTTGTGAGATTCCGACTTCTTCTTGTCCTTGATTCCTGCACCGCCCTTTAATGATACATAGCGCCTTTCCTTCATGAGTCCATAATTGAGTTCTCGTTTCTCTGTGTATCAAAAGATCTCGGTCCTATTTCATCTGTTGGTTCTACTTAGAAATTGTAACATTTGACATCAAGCTTGCTCTAGTAGTCTGTAGTAACTAAGCTACTAATCATGGCTTATATAAGTTAACCCATATCAGCGCATTTAGCTGGACTCGTATTTCGTTCTCCTATTAACCCTCTACAAATTGAACGTAGGCCGGGGTTCGATGCGATGGCTAGTACCAGCCGTCTCCCGCTTTTATATAGTTCCGCAGAGTAGTATAGATGTTTCCCTAGATCATTTCCCTTTCCCCATCACAAAGCAATAGCATACTACACCAAAATATAATAGTATCTTACTTCCTGTAGTACTAGCCAATGACTCGAGAAAAGAGACGGAAGAACGTGATGCGCTATTGTACGTTGCTCAGTAAAAACAGCACTCTTTTGGGTTTCCCACCAAGCGCGTGTGGTCGATCTAATTCGTCTCACCTAAGTATGTTATTTCCATGGAGCTCTTGAATAATAACTCCTAGGCTTCGAGCTTTGTGATTTTATATATCTCCTAGAGACTACATAGATCAGCTTATGTCTCTTGCTATGGACAAAGCCCGCAATGCCCCGAATGGGAAGAAAGAACGCGTCTCTTACACCTCGTTCCTCTTTTCCTGTACATACTTTAGCATTAACCAACACCTGCTAAATTGACGTTCCACAAGTTTACTTTTTTATTTCTCTTCTTTGTATCCATGTACTTTCCCGAACGCCTTCTACTCCTGTTCGAGGCAATGCCTCAAATCCTGTCATGCGTCTTCCCTCGAGTGTCTTCTCTAGACGAAATTCACTACACATGGAGACAGTAGCACGCTGTGTATAAGCATAGAACCTATCAAGATTATGAGGAACAAATAGCGACAAATACACGCATTCTGTCGTGTTCCTTTTAGATAGTACTTTTTCTCTCTTCCTCAATCCTTTAGCCAGGACATTGTTCACCGGAAGGCAAACAAGTTCTCATACCATTTAGCTTGCTGCACGGTCATCATCCGCAATTAACCAACTAACCGTAAGTTCGGTTACATTTGGTCAGACAGCTTGAGGCCTTTCATCCTCTTCTCCCATCCAGCCCCCAAACATAGGCATTCATAAGACGTGCACTAATCTTATCCGTTCTCTCCTTCCTTGGATCGAATTCGATCCGCCCCTTATAGACAGCCTTCGAATGCGCGTACCTTTTCGCCTCCCTCGGAATCAGATCGACTTGGCCCAGAGCGACAAAGTCGTCAGCTACAACTCTAATTTTCTTGTCCCTATAGCCATCACAACATTCACAAATCGGTGTACAGTGGCCAAGGACTTCTCGGTCGCTCCTCGTGCATCGTGGCTTCTCACAGCAACCACAAGACCGGCCACAACACCCCCCATCCTTAGCACACTTTTCCCGAAGCCATGTGTCCCTGAGATACCATATTGAATCGCATCGCTGGAAACTCATAGCGCGGTACAGTGGAGTGTGTCCCATTTTCCATTCTAGGAGCTTCATGACCCCTTCGGTGGAGCGTACATCGTTGTTGAGTAGTTCCAGTTTCCGCTCAGATTCCCTCAGTTTTTCTTTGTAGCTTTTGAACTCGTTGAGGTCGTCACTTGCAGGTTGTTCGCTCTTTATTTTCTTATTATTCTGCAATTCTTTTTCCCTTGCTTGTAATGCTAAATGTAGGAATTCTTCAGTCACGAAGTAATCATTGATATATTGCCACTGGTCCTCAGAAAGACCAATCCATTGGTGCTGTAGTTTGCGCAATTTCTGGGCCTTTCGTGTTTTTCCTGATTTCTCGAGGATTGCCTCCACGGGCTCGAAGATAGCACTGCTGGCTTTGACAAGCGTGTGTCGCATAGAATCCGGTATAGACTTGTTGAGCTTCATGTTTAGACGTAGTAGTCGAGTTTCGGGGAAGGAAAGGTAGCGATTTGACCGAGAATTATAAGAAGAAATTACGTGAGAAAAAATTCAGAGAGACGAATATGTGTGTGTATGTGTGTATAGGTCATGATTACACTCATTAGACTCATCTGTAGCTCATATGACATACAGGCCGAACCTATCGCTCCTTCCCTTGTGTGTTCCTGCCAACCCAGAGAGCACTCGAACATGATATCTTCGATTAGCTGGTCCAAAGATACTATCGAACAACCATCACTGCGAACGTTGAACACTCTTTTACCATCATCACTCCAATTCTTGAGCACTCTGTTTACCACATAATCGTCTATTGCTACAAAACTCTGCATTCCCTTCTTAAAGGGGAAAAAAAAAGAACGATGCCTGCCATTCCTAATCGTGTTAGCCCATCTATTCCAGGGCCATGGTGGGGTGCCATGGTCAGCTACATCGTTGCTACATGCTTAACCGCCGTCCTCCTTGGTATTCTTATATGGTGGTGGTTTTCTAACCGGACTCGGTGAGTTCTACGGAGATGATACGATTTCTAATACATACATGTCAAGACACGGTTGCTAACTTCGCTTACAGAAAGGCAATAGTTGAGTTTTCCATAAGTCGACACGCCGACACAGCGCAAGAAATTCAAGAAGTGGCGGGCTGGACCCCTCCTGGTATGCTGAAGATGTCTAGTATTTGATGCTGCATAAACTGACCTTGTTGAATAAACTAGGCAGTAGTACCGCGGGCCACAAGGAACACACCGAAACTGAAACTTTGGGATCAAACGGTGATAATGGAAATGGTGAAGGCACAAGCAAAGTCGAAGCAGGCAGTCGTGAAGAGGCACCCCGATATAAAGGCGCATGAATATCTCATGTTAACGTTGACCTGCTGCACGTCACATTAGCTCTTAGTTTGTCTACAACGCGCAACTCGAACAATTTGCTCTACTCTGCGTGTATTATCAGCTTTAGTTTAATGTTCCACTAGGGAACAATCTCAATTCTATCAGTGAAATCCTGAAATCTTTAACCCAACTTGTGTAGGTCCCCACCTCTCTTCCTCTTCTTCCTCTTTTTTCTCTTCTCTCTCCCAGAAGTCTTTTGATGGCCTACTTTCCTACCTGTCTACTTCACATACATCCTACTCCGAGCTCATTTACACCATGCTGTCTCATCGACCTTGGTGTCTCTACCTACCCACTTCCTACATCAAGTTCCATCTCAGGTGATTATCGGTTCGAGAATCGCATAAAGCTACAAAACCCAGAAAAAAAAGAAGGTCCCTACATTTTCAGGCCTTAGTTCCCATCTGTCTTCCTTTACTTAATCTCCAACCTGCCCACCTCGCGTACATCCCTACTCCGAGTTCATCTACATCCTGCTCTGTCTCATTGATCTTGGTAGCTCCAAAAAAAACAGAAGAAGAACAGAAACACAGAGGAAAAAACAGCTTCTTTACAAAGCATACACTCCTTTGAATTTTCCTACTTCATACTCTACTTTCATATCTGTGTCCTTCGTTTGGTCAAGCATATCCTTTTTCTATCGGTCTGGCCAGCTTCGATCTCAGTTTTCCGTGCCTTGCTCTCATTACTGAACTTGGCAAGTATTCGAGTGTCTCGAACGATGGTGTGCTTCCCATACTGACTCTCGGGCAGAACTCAACATTGACAATTACCCATGACAAGTACCCACACAAATCTCAGGTCAAAGACTGCATACTTCGGCTGGCCCGGCAGCGAACCCAGTCAGATAAATCTCGCTGAGAAGGATGTGACCTCTCAAGGTGCAGAGCAGGTAAGCTATCCCAGATACATGCACTTCGCGTCCACGGTCGCTGATTCGATACACTAGGGTGACAACAGCAGAGTTTTCCGATGAGCATACCGTCTCAATTTTCTAGTCTACAAACCGACCGTTGAGGTACAAATCCTGTCTGGCGTTTCCAAAGGTTGATTCTGACTTTTCACCAGGAAGACTGAACGACCGTCTGGACTCCGACTGGCAACAGTGGTGGCTTCCGAGAATTGGATATCAACTCTATGACACAAGGTCAATGATGAATCCAGTAGTTGTTGTTGACTTGCGTGGTTTTCCAGCTGTCAGCCCTGGGTCATGATAATGATGTCGATGACGAATCCACCATATATACATTTGTTTCGTCATATGTCATTTCCAATGCTACGGCACATCCTGAATGCCCCATTCGGTGTCTCTTAATGATATCGGCAGTACACGGAAAGATGGGAACAGCAACTTTTGCATGGCGACAGACAGGACAAAAAAAAGAAAAAAAAAAAAAAAAAAAAAAAAAAAAAAAAAAAAAAAAAGGAAGGGAGCAGGAAAAAGAAATATCTGCCCAACGCGCAACATTCCTCTACCCGATAGAGAAGGCTTCGGCTTCAACTTCCTCATGACTGGTCTTTACTCTTATTTCATACATGTGGACACAGCAGTTTACTACGATCTTTATCTTTTATCATTGCCTTTGTTCCTTAACTTTATTAACGAGTTCCCTATCTTGAAAATTCTGCGGCGGAGGCAAATTCGAACGTCAAACGGGAGCCTCATACACAGGCCACGTACTTCTTTCTGCTCGTCTGGGTGATGCCTGGCATGATTGCTGCCAACTTGATCTCGTTGTACCCGGGATTTTGTCGTTAGCTGAAGTTCAATGATAGGAAAAACCCAGAAAAAAATATAAAAAAAGAAAGAGGAGGAAGAAGATTGATGGGAGGCCGTGCCGATAATTTCAGGGAAGCAGAGTCCGAATCCTTGACGTGTACAATATCTGACCAAACTCAATTCATTCTTGTTATTCAACTTAAGCCCACTACTCTAATCTTGACCATGCAGACGCCTCACCGTTTAAAGCAAGACTAACTAATGTTGGGACACATATCTCCCCGTCGCCTGGCCAGCTAGACGCGATATATCATTTTGGTCTAGCGGCTAGTGCTTCGACATCTAACATAGCCTAATGCATCACCAACCGCAGTCCAAGCCCGCAACCAAGGCGACATCTATATAATATATATAAAACAAGAATGATCGGCAACATAGCTATACATAGCTAACGGGAAGATTTTACGCAGATAAAAATCAATATTGCACCTGCTAAGCCAGTTCATAGTGACCCATAAGGCACTCGTCACTCCATACGGCACCATCTCGCTATATACCCTTGGTATATAGTAGTGAACGACTACTGATATATAACATATGAAATATAGTATATAGTACTTACTACATCGATGTGGAATTTACAACCACAACCAGTGGCGGCGTGTCATATGGTTTATACATGCATCCCATTTACATGCATCCCATCTCAATGAACCAGCCAAGAGGGTTTTTGATCATCTAGGAAAGCTCATGTCTCGGGACATAAAGGAATCTCGACTTCTTATAGTAAAGTTCCGTTTTGATGTTGACCCTGAGAATATTGACAACACTGCTAGATTAGCTGAAGCCTTAAATGGCCTATCAAAGGGTTTTCCGTTTTTAGAAGAACGTTGACTTCTTCTAGTAAGATTCCGTTGTGACGTCGACCTTGAGCACATTGACAATATAGCCAGATTGGCTGGGGCTTTGATGGCCTATTAAAAGGTCTTCCATACTCCAAGCCATACAACGCGTATCGCACTCACAGTGGTGACGTGAGAATTCAGCAAATCGTGTATGACTCAACGGAGGCATGTGCTGTGTTGTGCTGTGCTGGGCTCTGGCTCAGTATGCTGATGATGTGGATATACTCAATATAACGAAATTTACTTATTTATCTCCCACGGTGGAGACGTGAGAATATTACATGGCCAACAAAAGCCGCGTGTGATTGTGGAACGGGATTATCGAACGAAAAGATGAAAGTTTGACGGACACTTTTGACAACGTCGATGAGTACGTTGTCAAATTCGCACATGATCATCAGGGTCTGAGAATGGCATATAGCCAATAAAAAGAGAGAAAAGAAAGGGGGGGGAAGGGGGGGGTTTGTTACATTTCCAGGCCTTAGTTCCCCTTTCTTTCATTTTAGACTTTCGAATGGAGATATATACCCGGCCCGGCGGTAAATAAGGCAGCTGGACAAATACGGGTCGTGTGGTCGACATTCACAAGATATCGACGAATATAATATCGGTATGGTATGGCATATAGCACCTTGCTATAACGACGAAGAATGGACTGTTTGTCCAATAATATTTACTGGGTCTCTCTAGTCAACTTTCAAGCAGTCGATATCTTTGACAAGGTTGGTAAATCCGTCTAATCAAGGCATATGGAATATGGATCCTTGCTCGAATGGAGACGTCAATACGAGCAAATCAAAAGGATACAGGAGGTACCAGCGATATTCCAATTACGAGGGATTGGATCTGCTATCATTGCCCACATCCGTCCGGACGCAGAGTCCCTCAAAGACAACTTGCTGACCGCGGAGATAAAGGGGACCGAGATAGTTTTTTCCCGGATCTATAGGAATTATCGGCCAGAATAAACAATAAGAAAGATAGGTTCAGCTATAATCGCACAGGTCCGTCCGGACTCTTTTCATATCAAAGACAACTTGTTCCCGACAGAGCTGCGTGGATAGAGGGCATGTTACCGGAGTTTACAGACATGAAACTCACGGTAAAGGTTCCCCAGACCTCAGGCCCAGCGTTGGATTGGACAGTCACTGGCTTCACTTTCGCTGAGTATCCTTGTCAAAATGTTTAATACTACAAGATATAGAAACCGGGCATATTGCCCAAGTGCACAGACGTTAAACTCACAATCAAGGTCCCTCAGACATCGGGTCCAATTTCTAATTGGAAAGGTGAGTGAGTGGGTTTACGGTGGCCGAGTACACTGAAGATATCTCGCCAGATGAGTTGAACGTGGTATTCTACGGCGAACAGATTGGCAAATTACTGAAAGACAGGGCTTTCACTGGTGAAAGGTCTGGGAGTCATAATTTTCGATATCAATGGGGCCGTTGTGATAGGACAAATAAATACCCTAGAGAAACTTCGCTCGGGCGAGGGTGGAGTCAATTGGTGGTGGGTTGATATTCGAGAAAGTGGTGGAATACATGCTTTTTAATACCATCGTCTTTGTTTAGTGATGGGTCTGGGTGGTAACGGGCACTATGATGAAGATTGAAAAATAGGAGCAGCTGGTTACGATTACTAGATATTTATGAGGGAACGTTCTTTAGCTGAATATAGGCTTCATCTGCGAATTTGTGTGGTTTTGTGCTTGGTTATTTTTAGATAGAAGCAAGTGATTGGTGTATAATAGTACATAGGATACCGTTTGACCATATCAAATCTCATATGTTAAAATTTCTCACTAAAACTGACACGATGGTGCTTAATCGGTTTTTGTAGCTTCTGAGCTGGTAAGAAGGCTACTACTCCCTGCACCCAAAAATCACAGTAGCAACTATTGGCATAATATCAGATAAAAGACACAGAGTACGTCAAGCTCCGAGAGCTACAAAGAACAAACGCGTCCAAAGTCAACTCGAACATATTGCCGTCCATACTGGACTCTACAGTCCGCGCGCATACGTGTCGAGGTACGCAGCTGTAGCATTGTCTATGAACAGTTAGCAAGATTCCCATCAAAAAAGAGAGGTCTAAACTTACAAGACTCCACACCCTTCTCCACGTTCAGGTTCATATACACGGGGCGGGCCTAGGATAAGGGTATTAGTATGACTGCTACGCGAGAGATTCGCTCTTCTTTCATGTACATACCGTCTCGCCGCCCTTTTCCAACCAGTCATAGATTGACTGCGCATTCTGGACAGTGGAGCTCCAGTACTGAGGAAGTACATCCAGACAGGCTTGGAAAGACAGCAACCCGCTCTGTTGCATG